TTCTCTTTTCTCTCTGTGTTGACGGTCATCCGTGCCTATACCCCTCATTACTATAACCGATGTTATAAATCTAAGTCCTGTGGCTTTAACCTTCTAAATATCGCCTGGCCTGCCCAATTCTCACCACTGCTACCACATTCTTTTGCAAGTCAACATGGTCTCCTGCCTGGATTCTCAGGGAATGCTGAGTTCTGTCTGAACTCAGATCTGATCGTTTAATCTCTTATGATCCTCCTTAATGCATTTTAATGGTTTTCTGTAGTTCCCGTAAAAGTGTTCAAAGTCCCTTAAGAAGTTCACGGTCCTGCATCATCTTGGCCCCTGCTGTCCACGTAGCCTCATCGCTCACCGTGCCGACTCCTCACTCGCGCACTGTTCTCCTTGTACTCACACCCTCTCTAAGCACAGAGCATGTGGATGCTTTTTTACTCTACCTAGGTTTTCTTCCACCAGGTTTTCTTCTTTATTCCTGAGCTCCCTTTGAAGTTCTGAGCTCTCTATATATGCAGTGCCTATATTCTAAGCACCTCATGGCCAGACACACGGTAGATGTTTATTCAATATTAAGTAAATGAATGAAGTTGCTAGTTTGTTGTCTGGGAAGAATTATTTATAATGAGCATACCAAAGCACCAAGTTCTGCCTTCTCTGATCACATTTTCATTACACTGTTTATATGCCAATAGATACTTCTTAATAAACAATGTACATTGCTCTTTATACTTAGTTTCACAAGCACTTTCACATGACTCCTCTCTTGAGACCTGGGGCAAATCAGTTGTGTTCTTCAAACCTTCCCCCGCCCCCCCCCCCCCCCCCCCCCCACATTTCCAGATTGCTCACCTAGGGGTAACTGAAATTCTAGGTGATTCTTGAAATTTCTGATTTTTCTGTAATTCTATTTTCATTTTTTTGTACACGAGGGAACAGACAGGTTTCTGGATGATGGTTCCAAGTTAAACAGAGATCAAGGTAGGACTTAATCACAGGATACTTGAATCACATCCTCGTAACTTTTTCCATGTCAGTGTAGTCTTTTCACTCAAATAAGTAAAAATTGTCTTTAAAAATTTTTTTTTTTAATTGTGGTAAAATACACATAACAAAATTTATTATCTTAACCATTTTTAAGTGTAAAGTGACATTAAGTACATTCACATTGTTGTGCAACTATCACCACCATTCATCTCCAGAACCCTTTTGTCTTGCAAAACTGAGACCATATATCCATTAAACAATAACTGTCCATTTCCACCCCCCTCCTCAGCCCCTAGCAACCACTATTCTACTTTCCATTTTGTCTTTTTTTTTAATTGAGGAAGAGAATTGTTGCCAGTGTCCTTTCAGATGAACAGAGATCTCAAATCACAAAGTTTAAGTGCTTTTGATGTTGATGTTTAAAAAAATCTGTCACCAAATGCTTTCTTTTCCAGACTTCATTATTTTGCAATGTATTCCTGAGTTGGGCTAACGGGAAATGTTAGCCCAACCCTAAATGTGTTCTTTCTCTCTAGATTTAAACAATAAAAGCCGACACTAGAAAAGGGTTAAAAGGGTCTCTGTCTCTTCCTGAAGGCATAAGACAGTAGGCATATTTGTGTTTGTGTGTGCTTTGTGTTTTTCTTATAACATAATTATCTGATATTTTCCTGTGATGAGAACTTTTAAGATCTGTCTTAGAAATTTTCAAATATGCAATACAGTATTATTCACTACAGCCATATTTTTTTCTCAGAACTGTATCTAATTCTCACATGAGCTAATATAGTCATAAAAAAGTGTTTGAGGACTGGAAAGTTACTTTGCAGTATCTATACTAAAAAAAATTTCTTATGCAATTTTAATGTTCTGCTGGTTTGGTTATCTGTCAGTGTGGGTGGTGATATCTTTATATTACATATACATGTACCCATATACATGTATATATCTACATAAACACATATGGAAACGTGTGTATATACGTGTGTGTGTGTGTACACGTGTGGGTATATATATCTATGTTGTCTAGGGAGAATACTCATTTAAGTTGTATGAAAGGTAAGCAACACTTTTATCCAAAATTATTTTGTATTATGGAACAGCGATTTTGTTTTCGTGCCTTTTTGTCCTATATTTTTGGAACAAATTAGGGGCACTAAGCATGCATATAAATGGTTTGTACTTTTTCACCTCACTTTAAACTTCAACTTATGACCTTACTTTGGTTTTATACTTCTAATTTAAAATTTATGTTATCTTTTAATATTTTCTTTTTTTTGCAAGCTGTTTTCAATCGTTTCTATAAAAAGGGTGGCATATAAATATGTGTGTTTTAAAAAATTGCTAGCCATGATGATTGAATCATACAGAAAAGATTACATTATTATAGAATAATAACACTAGTAAGAGTTAGAATTTCCTTAAAAGACTAGTATATATTATTTAATGTGGCAGAGGATTATATTATATGATTTTGAAAGGTTTCCAGAAATTAGGGAAATCAGAGAAGTTAATGCACAGCTGTCTAAGCTAGAATGTAGGAACATGGTTGTTGCTTCTACATGCTTACAGTCTAGTGTAGCCTTTGGTTAGTCAGACCTCAGATGGGAATGAAACTTCCTGTTGATGTTACACAGAAAGGAGATGTTACAGTGAAATGAGACCCTAAGAATGAAAATAAAGATCTTCTTTATGTGGAAAATAGCTGAAGGTTTTGAAGGTTCTATTTTCCCAGCAAGACTATGAAGAAAGAAGGAAGGTCACAGAACATGCCAATTTTGGATGTTCCAGACAAATGGAAAAGCAGAATGGAAGACTGAAAATGACCAAACAGGAGATGACTAGAGAGAGAGAGAATTTTGAAAACTTTCAGGCTATATTACTTTTTCATAGTAGTTTTATAATTTTTTTCCTTTTTCACTTTTTGCTTAATTTTCTTTGTCTATTGCAACCTTTTAATGGAGGAAAACCATTTCAGTTATTGTTTAATTAAAGTATTAAATATCATGATAAAGAGATGATGTACCTAAACTCATGTATTATACAGCTACTTTTGTGCTGAAATGACTATGTCATTCAGAAGGAAGTATTATGTTTTATTTTCTTACTCAAAAACTTTGTTCTTCAATGACTTTATTCATTCTGTCTGGATTACTCAGTGTTCACTTTCTTTGCTAATGGAAGGGTTCGAATAACAACATGCCCTTTCTTGTTGGGAAATTTGGCAAACTCAGAAAGGCTGGTATTTAGTTCTTCAGAACGTGTGAACTTTATGGAAGCAAAATAATTTTTTGAACTTTAGCTGTTATACACAGCTATTTAGTAGTATTGAAGTTGGCAGATTCTTCAAAATGTTTCTGTGTGAATAAAAAATGTCATTTTTAGAGGTATGTTATTTACCTCTATTGTCAGTAGATTTACTGTTCATTTAATAAATGTAAGATCACTTTTCAGTGACCAAATTGGTGACATGTAAAAAACCTGAAAGAATTTCCTAATAATTTTCTGGGAAATAAGGAGGTAGGTAATGGTAGCTACAATTTAAGGTAACGAACCCTTTAAAGAACTGTAAAACTATAACTAGATTTCTTGGGAGATCTGCTTTCTCATCAGATAAAAACAAGAGTACGAATTGCTGTTTACCTTCCTATGATAATGTTATATTTTCAGAATTTCTCATGTAAACAGCCTTCCAAGTAATATTCAAAATAATTTACATTTCATTTGTCCCACACTGCCTATGAGCCCTCCCACTCTTTCGGCAATTCCCCAAATGGTTATTTTGAGCAAAGCAGAATGCCTGTGGAGGATGTAGAGCCTTCCCTTAGAAGCTGACAAACAGGTTCTTATAGTGATTTTGGGAGTGGGTGCCATTTTTTTGAAGGTTTTACTGTTTTCACTTTTGTTTCTGAATTCTTTTAATGCTTTGTTTTTGAAATGAAAGTTTCTCGATTGGTTTCTGGACTTGAGTTAAGTTTATAGCTACCATATTTTGCCACTTTCTGTTTAAGGAGTATTTTAGAAATCTTTTCTTGTCTCAGATAGAGCTAGCCTCAAAGTATCCATGTGGTTTAGAGTATCTCGAAAATCTCACAAATTAGAAAGAAATGAAGTCTGGGGTATGAGTGAGTGATTGAGTGAAAGAGAGAGGGAGAGGGAAGGAGGAGGAAGGGAGGGAGTGGGGGAGAGAGAGAGAGAGAAAGAGGGAGAGAGAGAGAGAGAGACTGTGTGTACATACATGTTTGTGAAGATATAAACTAGTGTTTAGTTATTTATAATTCAGATTACTAACTAAGCAACCTGTTTACCTGTAGGTATTTATCTCAGCAGAATGATAAAATACAAATGTGTATTAATACATGGTTCTTGCTGTCTTGGTGTTGACCAGTGGGAGAAACAAGATGAGTGAATTAATAGGGCAAGGAAGTATATGATTATTCTAAGTGCCAAATTGATTGGCACAGGCCCAAGAGTATAAGGAGTTCAGGGAACAGAGATAGAAAAATGAAAGCTGAGAAGATTAGTGAGGGCTCCACAGAAGAGATGGGGCTTGATCTCCGCTTGCAAGGATGAGTAGGAAATTTGAAGATGACAGGAAAGGGCATCCTGCATGAAGTTGCCATGGTCATGGCATTGAACTGAGTAAAAGCTTTTGTGTTTGGGGAGAAACATTGAGAGGATGCTAGTTGGTTTGGAAGCATGCTATGCTGTTGGAGTAGGGAGCTTACATAGGTTGAATGAGACAGATATTCATATAGATTCTGATTATGAATCAGATTTATAGACTTTGCTGAAAGTTATGTATTTCAAATTTTAATATTTTCCTTGCTGTGCTTCCTTTGCCTCACAGAAGTTTCTGAGAGAAGTAAGCAGTGTTAAATGTTTGATGAAAATCTCTGTATTTCAACAAAGGCATAGTATTAATATTTGCAAAAGTTGCTATATAAATAAATACACATGTAAATATGATATTGAACTGGCACATGAGAAAACATAATTAATACAATGAATGTTTTTCCTAGGCCGGACCTGATAGACATGAATACTGTTGCTGTTCAAAGCAACCTTGCAAATTTAGAGCACGCATTTTATGTAGCAGAAAAAATCGGTGTTATAAGACTTCTGGATCCTGAAGGTGAGTTGTTGTCTTGACTAGGTATACACTGGCATGAAAATCTAATTAAGAGTAATCTGTCAGCATTTTGAAATAATTTATATTGCCGCTTTTAGATGTTGATGTCTCCTCTCCTGATGAAAAATCAGTAATAACTTATGTGTCATCTCTCTATGATGCATTTCCCAAAGTCCCTGAAGGTGGTGAAGGGATCGGTGCAAATGTGAGTATTGATTTTGCCATACTGGAAGCTGCTGATTCAGTAATGCCTAGCTGACTGAATTCTTTGATAGTGCTTTTTATAGTTCTTAAATATCAAATATTTTTATAGAATTTGAGTGAATATGCTATTTAACAAACTGATATTGTATGCATTTTAATGGCATCATTCCACTGTTAAAATATAACTCGAAAAATTTGTTCTGTATCATAAAGTAAGCTATTCAGAGTTATATATTCTGTAAATATTAACTATAAACCACTGAATTTTGGAGATTTTCATTTTTAATTTGCTCCTGTTTTACAACTACTCTATTTGATGTATATGTATAGGATATCTCACTTTCGAAGTCACTTTCAAGTTTATTAACTCATTTGATCACATGAGATAAGTTGGTTCAGTACTGTTTTTCTGATTTAACGCTGAGACCCAGAGGAAGTTATTTATTTTGCCAAATCGACATAGCTACTTTGTAAGCAGGGCAAGATCTCTGACACATACCTTTGGACTCTTTATTAGTCCACCATTTGCCAAAGGCTCATGTAATTCAGTTCAGTCATAGTGATCATGTTAACACGTGCTCATGCATTTCTGGAAGAGACAGGAAACCCTGCTCGTTTTGCATTTGAGGCTGATCCCCTCACCCTGGGCTTCTCCTCTCCTCCTTGCAGATATTGTTTTTAAAAAATTTACTTTGAAGATTTAGGCACTCATCTTGGTGAACTTTCTGTTCTGGCCTCTTCCTTCACCTCAGTATGCTGTCGTTTCTAGGCTTACTTCCATTCTCTCCCTCTTGTTCTCTCCTGCAAAGGTCTCGAGTGAGTGATTGAGTGAAAGAGAGAGGGAGAGGGGGGGAGGAGAGGGAGGGAGTGGGGGGGAGAGAGAGAGAGAAAGAGGGAGAGAGAGAGAGAGAGACTGTGTGTACATACATGTTTGTGAAGATATAAACTAGTGTTTAGTTATTTATAATTCAGATTACTAACTAAGCAACCTGTTTACCTGTAGGTATTTATCTCAGCAGAATGATAAAATACAAATGTGTATTAATACATGGTTCTTGCTGTCTTGGTGTTGACCAGTGGGAGAAACAAGATGAGTGAATTAATAGGGCAAGGAAGTATATGATTATTCTAAGTGCCAAATTGATTGGCACAGGCCCAAGAGTATAAGGAGTTCAGGGAACAGAGATAGAAAAATGAAAGCTGAGAAGATTAGTGAGGGCTCCACAGAAGAGATGGGGCTTGATCTCCGCTTGCAAGGATGAGTAGGAAATTCGAAGATGACAGGAAAGGGCATCCTGCATGAAGTTGCCATGGTCATGGCATTGAACTGAGTAAAAGCTTTTGTGTTTGGGGAGAAACATTGAGAGGATGCTAGTTGGTTTGGAAGCATGCTATGCTGTTGGAGTAGGGAGCTTACATAGGTTGAATGAGACAGATATTCATATAGATTCTGATTATGAATCAGATTTATAGACTTTGCTGAAAGTTATGTATTTCAAATTTTAATATTTTCCTTGCTGTGCTTCCTTTGCCTCACAGAAGTTTCTGAGAGAAGTAAGCAGTGTTAAATGTTTGATGAAAATCTCTGTATTTCAACAAAGGCATAGTATTAATATTTGCAAAAGTTGCTATATAAATAAATACACATGTAAATATGATATTGAACTGGCACATGAGAAAACATAATTAATACAATGAATGTTTTTCCTAGGCCGGACCTGATAGACATGAATACTGTTGCTGTTCAAAGCAACCTTGCAAATTTAGAGCACGCATTTTATGTAGCAGAAAAAATCGGTGTTATAAGACTTCTGGATCCTGAAGGTGAGTTGTTGTCTTGACTAGGTATACACTGGCATGAAAATCTAATTAAGAGTAATCTGTCAGCATTTTGAAATAATTTATATTGCCGCTTTTAGATGTTGATGTCTCCTCTCCTGATGAAAAATCAGTAATAACTTATGTGTCATCTCTCTATGATGCATTTCCCAAAGTCCCTGAAGGTGGTGAAGGGATCGGTGCAAATGTGAGTATTGATTTTGCCATACTGGAAGCTGCTGATTCAGTAATGCCTAGCTGACTGAATTCTTTGATAGTGCTTTTTATAGTTCTTAAATATCAAATATTTTTATAGAATTTGAGTGAATATGCTATTTAACAAACTGATATTGTATGCATTTTAATGGCATCATTCCACTGTTAAAATATAACTCGAAAAATTTGTTCTGTATCATAAAGTAAGCTATTCAGAGTTATATATTCTGTAAATATTAACTATAAACCACTGAATTTTGGAGATTTTCATTTTTAATTTGCTCCTGTTTTACAACTACTCTATTTGATGTATATGTATAGGATATCTCACTTTCGAAGTCACTTTCAAGTTTATTAACTCATTTGATCACATGAGATAAGTTGGTTCAGTACTGTTTTTCTGATTTAACGCTGAGACCCAGAGGAAGTTATTTATTTTGCCAAATCGACATAGCTACTTTGTAAGCAGGGCAAGATCTCTGACACATACCTTTGGACTCTTTATTAGTCCACCATTTGCCAAAGGCTCATGTAATTCAGTTCAGTCATAGTGATCATGTTAACACGTGCTCATGCATTTCTGGAAGAGACAGGAAACCCTGCTCGTTTTGCATTTGAGGCTGATCCCCTCACCCTGGGCTTCTCCTCTCCTCCTTGCAGATATTGTTTTTAAAAAATTTACTTTGAAGATTTAGGCACTCATCTTGGTGAACTTTCTGTTCTGGCCTCTTCCTTCACCTCAGTATGCTGTCGTTTCTAGGCTTACTTCCATTCTCTCCCTCTTGTTCTCTCCTGCAAAGGTCTCGTTCTACCCTTCTGATCCCTGAGGAGTCTGCTCCCACGCCCGTCCTCTCCTCTGACTCAGTGCCATTCTCCAGTGACTCAGTGTTGAATGTCACTTAAGAATGTTTCCTGTGGCCATTCCTTGCTTTCTCGTCTCACTACCTCTACCCCATTCCTGATTCATCCCTTCACTCTAGAAGCAGGATGATAGCTTTCTTACAGTTTTCCATCTCCCATTGTTTTTCTCTTCCCATCAACTCTGCACACTGTTGCCAAATCCGCTTGAAAACTTTCAGTGGTGACATATAACTTTGCAAGATTAAATCCAGTCTAGATATTCTGACATTCTAAATGCTGCATATGTTAATTCCGCTTGCCTACATTTTCTGCTATAACATCTCGGCAAGAACTGTTTGCTGGTAGCCAGGGCATTTCTGTTTCAGAGTCCTGACTCACTTGGGACTCCCCTGTCTTTTATCCACTCCTCTCTGCCCTTTACCAATAATTACTCACAGGGTGTTGCAAAGCTGCTCTGGGACTACTGCTCCCAAAAGCCTTTAGTGACTGTTTCAGGCACATTTATGCTTACCTGATTTTTATCTCAACTCCTAGCATGTGCTACCTGTTTAAGTTATTTCAACACTTAATTAAATACTGCTTTTCATTTTGCTCAACTGTTCATATTATGAATCTCTCTTGCCTCCCTATCTAGACAGTAACTTTTTGATGATAGGTATTATGTCTTCAAGCATTATATTTTTATTACAACACTTAGCACGATGCTTTGAACATAATACACACTCATCAAATACTTAATTGAATATAGCAGTTGACAACCTTTCATTTTCCTCCATTTTTAAAAAGTTTGCTAAATGGATACTTGAATAATCACACCATATACATTTCCTGTAGTTTTTATTCTTATCTAGTTTATTTTGTATTGTATAGCTCTTTTGATTTTTATACATGCAGTGGACTTAGGTCTAATGAAGTTGGCAGAGTGGCAACTAACTTGGCTTATGCAAGCTATTATTGCCCTTTCTTGAGCACCTGGCAAGTTCATTGTGGCAGTTTTTCCTGCTGTACTCGGATGCTGCCTCAGAACCCTTCTCAACACAGTGCTGCAGGCAGCTGCTGTCTCTGGATCAGAATTGGCACTCATTAGGCTAGGCTTAGTGGTCAAATGTTGATAGCATACTTTTAAAGCTGTTTATGTGGAAAGGATTGGGACTGGGTGGAAAGTAAGATAACATTTAGCTGGTTATCTGGGTCAGGCTTAAAGACATGCAGATTCACAGAATGACTTCTGACTAAATTGTGTTAGATATGAATATTGTTATCTACAGACATGGAACTTTCTTTCATTTTATTGTTCTAGGATGTAGAAGTCAAATGGATCGAATACCAGAATATGGTGAACTACCTCATCCAGTGGATTAGACACCATGTGACCACAATGTCTGAGAGAACATTTCCTAATAATCCTGTAGAACTAAAGGTCAGCATCATTACAGAAGTAGGACTGACTTGATTAATAAACTTTTAAATAATGTTGTAATAGTTCCATTATTTTAGAAGCTGAAGAAAAATTACCCTTAGCAAGCCACTAATAAGTAGACATTTTAAAAAATGGCCTCATTTCCTTATTATACAGAGAAAATAGAAGTAAACATCAGTAATTAAAATGTAATAGCAACAATATCTTAAAGAAATGTATAGTCCATTAGCTTCGAATTGTGTTTTAAGGTTTGACAGAGTTTCTGGAAGTGACCTTGCCACATTGTTTTTGGTGTGTGGGAAACGCTTGGAGCCCACCAGATGCCTGGGGTAGGAAGGACTCTGGGAAGCTTGCACGAGTATGACAGTGGTTGGGAGTGTGCTGTGGTCGAATCCTGTTAAAAACTGCTCAGAGCCTTCTTTCGTATAGCAATAGGTACATACTGTAGTTTAATATGAATTTGAAAATCCATACCTGACTTCCAGTATAAATGAATTCATGGTTTAGTAAAACATTTGCTACTACCCAAAAACAGATCTAACTAACTCTTTGCAAGATTAGGCAAAGACATTATAGAATTATATTTATCTTATATAAGACATACATATATAAACTTAATCGATGAATAAGCTGTCATATTTTGTATATTACGATTTATAATAGCAAAATAGGCCACTTTTTTTCAAGATATCGATAATGTGATTATTAACAACAAAGTCTGATTCCTTGACTTATACACTTTGTTTCCATGATCAAACTGCAGTCAACAAAAACTAGATAACCCGGGTGGACCATGTTATAGTTACTCATTGTGTTAATGAATCTGCACAGAACATCT